CTGATTCCAAACAGTTAAAAGTACTTTTTGTAATACATTATAAGCTGAATTCAGGAAGCTTTGGACAAGGATCTTTATTTCCAGCCATGTGACTGTCATTTTGAAGTAACTGTCACTTTTTGGAATAGGGGGATCCTGTTCCTGCACTGAGCCCCGTGTACCTATACACACATGCAGCTAATAGGAAGCAGTGAGATGAAAGAAACATGTCTAACATGTTATGTGTAAACATCAGCTGAGGGCTCAGCACAACTTTCCACCCTGCTGTTCCTCCAGCAGGTCAGGACAACAATGACACAAGGAGCACATTAGTGCAGAAACACTGTCAGCTCTCCAGAGACACAGGAAGGCAGGGAAGATCCCAGCCTGTGCCGGAGGATGCCAATCCCTGGGACTGACACGATCCCGGCCAGGATTTCGTGTTGACCTTTTAAAGAGACAAAGAAGCAAAAAAAAAAAAAAAGAAGTGTTCCAGTGTGACAACACCACACTCCAATCCGCACACACACAGACACACAGCAGCTCTCCCCCTCCGATCCCAGGGATGATGATCACTCACCACTTCACAACTTGACACAGCATAGAAATGTTCGGAGACTCCGGGGGGATGCACATCAACTTGGAGCCGCTGCAGATCTGCTGATGACTTTTGATAATATTTATCCTCCTTTTCTAGATTTGATGTTGGTGTGATCACAGCCTCCCCCAGAACAGAGGGGGGGGGGGAGGCAGGAAAATAAACGTCAAGTCATAAGAATAAACAGTAACGTGTAATTAAAGCATGGCCAAAACATGGAGAGAGAGAGAGAGGAGGAGGAGGAGGGAGGAAACAAGGGGCTGAGATGAAGAAAAGTGGATCAATCTTCCATACAGAGACGAGGAAGCCAGAGAGCACAAGGTGTCCGGGGAGCTCACAATCAAGTCATAGCGCAGGATGATAGAAGAGGTGGTGGAGGGGAGGGATCGATGGAGGGATCGGAGGACTGCAGATGGCGATGTCACAAAGTAGCTGTCATCCTCAAACTTTCTTCCCGGAAAAACCAGAAGAGACGAGCAGAGCTGCTGGCCGGCCACTTTCACCGAGTTGACAGGTGGAGAGGCGCTGTGTCCATGTAGATGGGAGGGGGGGCCAGAGAATGAATGGGGACGAGGGCCGATGATGGGTCGCTCAGATGACACTCCCGGGATCCTCTCCGGATTCATACATTATTCAACAATGGCCACATCGGGCGACTTGGAGGCTTGTTGTAGGATCGGGGTGCCTGCTGTATTTATGTTCTTGCTGGATCTGTGCTGTATTTATGTTCTTGCTGGATCTGTGTTGTATTTATGTTCTTGCTGGATCTGTGTTGTGGTCTGATCTGTGTTATATTTGCGTTGTTGCTGGATCTGTGTTGTATTTGTTGTTGTCTGATCTGTGTATGATCTGCGTTGTTGTATTTGTATATTTGCTGGATCTGTGTTGTATTTGTTGTTGCTGGATCTGTGTTGTTGTCTGATCTGTGATGTTGTCTGATATGTGTTGTATTGTTGCTGGATGTGTGTTGTTGTTGTCTGTGTGTTGTTTCCTCCGCACACAGTGTATGTGTATATGTGTGTGTGTGTGTTTGTCCGCCTGAGCTTCTCTCTCTCTCTCTCTCTCTCTCTCTCCGGTTTGTGTGTCCCCATGAAATTATTAGTTGTATTGACTCATCACTCCTCCTCCTCCTCCCGCTCCTGCCGCCGTGCTCTGTCTCTGGGATCGCTCTCGTTAATGAGGATGATGAGGGTGGTGGTGCGGATGATGCCGGTACTGCTTCTGCTGCTCGTGTTGCTTCTTCTTCCTCCTCCTCATTTTAATACACAATAACAGCAGGCAGGCCACCGGCTCCCTTCCCGCAGCCCCAAGCCCTTCCCTGGCGGCCCCGGATCAGCCGACGTCCTGGGAGAGAAGCAGAGGAGGAGGAGGAGAGACATGAT